AGGAATGCCCTTCGAAGGAAGATTTGCCTCCCTTCAAAATAGTCACAAGCCTTAAACTGCATTGGTATAGACCCCTTTGAAAAAGAGGGCAGCGGCTCCTTTAAGGCTGAGAGGTCTGTCACATGGTTTCCCGCTCTACAAGCCCTCGCTGGCTACGCTTTTGGTCACGTGCCCAGAGGCGGTCCAAAGAGATAAAGCAGCAAAGGACTCTACATAATCCTCACTTCTGGCTCTCAATCTACTCTTCCACAGAAATAAAAAATATCCTCACAAAGGGCAAGATAGCTGGCTCCTTGCATTGCACTTTGACATAATCGTGAAACAATTCGATGCTGCTTTTTTCAAAGCTGCATACCTCTGCAAGGAGAGAAAGCGCCTTTAATTGTCAGAGTCCAGGTTTTCCATGGTTTCCTATGGAATCTCGCCCGCATGTAGAGAGGTCCTCTCCCCCCCCCCAACGGCGATTGCGAACCTGACCTCGCTATGTGAAACTGTGAAGACTGCAGCCTCGTGGCCCGGGGCGGCTATCCTCCCCTCCCCTTGTCATGTGACGGGGCGGACTCAGTGAGGTAGGAAGGTGGGTGAAGCCGGAAGAGGAAAGGGAGCAAATTCCCAGCAGGAGAGATGAGCGGCTTGGGGAAGCTTTTCGGGAAGGGTGAGGTTTTCAGTTTTCTTCTTTCGCACCCCAGGAGAGAGATGGTATCGCCTAGTCCTCATAGGGGGGATCGAGGAAGCTCGGGAGCAACCAAGTGCTCTGTAGGGGTGGAAGAGAAAAGAGCCTGTTGGATGGGAAAGGAGAAGCAGCAGCCCAGAAATGGCTGTTCCCAAAAAAAAAAATTGCTCCAAATTTCCTCTTTTCTGGAGAAGGAAGCGCAAGACTTCCAAAAAGTCCTGGGGCGGGGGGGGCGAGATGGAGGGTTCAGTTTTATCTCCCCGCCTTGCTTGTTTTCTGTGGGTAGGACTGTACCAGTTCTCCCCTTTTGGATGCAACAGATTCGCCCACTGACTGGGGCAGAGGGATGGGGGGGCAGAGTATGGATGCTGGGAAAAGCCCACAATGCACTGGGCTTTCCCTTGAGTCTCCTTGTCAAGAGGAGATGATGTCAGAGCTGCCTATTGTAGGGGAGCAGTGTGGCACGGTGGTCAGAGTGATGGACCAGGATCTCAGAGACCCAGGTTCGAATCCCGCCTTGCGCCATGGAGGCTCGCTGGGTGGCCTCAGGCCAGTCACACGCTGTCAGCCTAACCCTGCCACAGTCGCAAGGCTGTTGTGAAGATAAAATGGAGTAAAAGAGAATGAGGTAAGCCTAGCCACTGGGCAGAATGGCGGCATATGAATGCAGTGAATAAAATATTCCCTTCCCTTCTGCAGCTCTTCTAGGGAGTGGTTCTTGCCACTATATTTAGTCCGAGGTAGAGTAACACTGCGGCGGCTCAAGTGGTTAAGACGCTGAGCTGCAGACTGGAAGGTCGGTAGCTCGGCAGTTTGAGACCCGAGTGCCACATGACGGAGTGAGGCTCCTGTCTCTGGCCCCAGCTCCTGCCAACCTAGCCGTTCGAAAGCAAGAAATTGCAAGTCGATAAATAAGTACCACTTCGGTGGGGAAGGTAACAGCGTTCCGTGCGCCTCGGCGTCTAGTCATGCCGACCACGTGACCACGGAAACGTCTTCGGACAGCGCTGGCTCTTCGGCTTGGAAACGGAGATGAGCACCGCACCCCTAGAGCCGGATCCCACTGGCTTTCGAGCAAGGGAAACCTTTACCTTTACTAGAGTGGCACTGCAACTGGAGGCTTTACAGATGTTCTTGTTACTCCTTTGCCCAAGCCCTGCTTCCGTCCGTCCCTTTCTAGGTAAGAAGGCCAAAGCGCCTACCCCGCAAGAGGCCATCCAGAAACTGCGGGAGACCGAGGAGGTGCTGGTCAAGAAACAGGAGTTCTTGGAGCAGAAGATTCAACAGGAGCTCCAGGCAGCCAAGAAACATGGGACCAAGAACAAGAGGGGTAATTGTGGGGAGAAGATGGGGCTGGCAAAGCCCAGTGGGGGAGGGGGCTGGAGAAGGCAGAGGAACAAAAGGGGATTCCTTTGGGGGGGGCACAGCTGGTGCATAAATGACGGCTGCAGCTTGTTCGAGCCAATCTGGAAGGCTGTAGCATCCGGAAGAGGAACAAAAGCTAAATAAAGGATGGGAGGAAGGGGGGTGGCTGGCAGGGAGAAGTCTTGGAGTCTAAGGGAGATATTCTCCCCATAGAATCGATGGGGAGGTGTGATGGGAGGGTTTACCTGCTGCCTGGGAGTTCTTGGGACGAATCAAATTTTCTGGGCAGGCTTCTTAGATGCTCGGTACTCCTCAAGTGAGGTTGGTTTTAAAAGGTGGGCTTGGCTAGCAAGCCTCCATCGGGAGATCTTAGGAGGAGTAGGAGGACAGTGCCTGAAAATACAGGCCACCCAAAGCGTTTAACGCTATTTAAATGTATTAAAATAAATGTAAATGTTCAGGGCTTTGTTATCATGGCAGACACTGGTCAGAACGGTACAGGGTGGGAGGTACTTCCTGCGTTTCCTTCCTGGTATTTTTCCCCCTAATAATAACACTTATTTAACACTTCAGAGTAAGTGCAGAAATCCTGAGTGCAGAAATCGCATTTATAAACCCAAATGCTGTTCCCCCCCCCCTATCAATAATAGAGCAAGAAGCCAAGCTTTTTTCGTAGCCAGTGCAGCCATTCTAAGTCCACATTCATATAACGAAGAATGGTTCTAAGTGTGCATAAAAAAGGCCAGACACCAAACTTTGACCAGTTGTTGATGCCGTGGCTCAGTGGTAGAGCCTCTGTTTGGCATGCAGAAGGTCCCAGGTTCCATCCCCGGCCTCTCCAGCTAAAAGGATCAGGTAGGAGGTGGTGCCTGAGACCCCGTAGAGCCGCTGCCGGTCTGAGTAGACAACGCTGAATGTGATGGATTGATGGTCTGATTCAATATAAGGCAGATTTATGTGTCAACGTTGGGGTGGGTTTGTGGTTCGGGGTAGAGCCTCTGCTTGACATGGAAAAGGCCTCGGGTCCAATCCCCGGCATCTCCAGTTAAAAGGATCACGTAGGTGGTGATGGGAAAGCCCTCTGCCTGAGACCCTGGAGAGCGGCTGCCAGTCTGAGTAGACAAGACTGGCCTTGAGGGACCCAGGGTCTAAATCAATATAAGGCAGCTTCATGTGTGGTCGTTCTGTTAGCTCTTAAACAAGTGGCCAGTTTGGCTGTTTATAGCAGAGCCCAGAATCTTTGCAGCCTCTGCTTTTGACTCGAGGTGACAGTTTGCGCTCTCTCTCTCTCTCTGTCTCTCTCCCTGTCTCTTTCTCTCTCTCTGTCTCTCTCTGTCCCTGTCTCTCTCTCTGTCCCTGTCTCTCTCTCTGTCCCTGTCTCTCTCTCTGTCCCTGTCTCTCTCTCTGTCCCTGTCTCTCTCTCTGTCCCTGTCTCTCTCTCTGTCCCTGTCTCTCTCTCTGTCCCTGTCTCTCTCTCTGTCCCTGTCTCTCTCTCTGTCCCTGTCTCTCTCTCTGTCCCTGTCTCTGTCTGTCTCTCTGTCTGTCTCTGTCTCTCTCTGTCTCTGCCTCTGTCTCTCTGTCTCTCTCTCTCTCTCTCTCTCTCTCTCTATATATATATATATATATAAAGTTAAAGCTGACTATACACAAAGCAGCCAGGTCCCACAGCCAGACATCTCTGTCACGCTCCACTCTGCCTCAGGGCCTGCTAAGCAATATGTCAGGGCTGGACTGCTTGCACACTCTTTGTCTTTCTTTCTCATGCACAAGCATTTTTCAGTTGATCTCCTTGGATCCAGGTGGCCAGCCGTGCTGGTCTGAAGTAGTAGAGCAAATTTAGAGTCCAGCAGCACCTTTAAGAGAGCCAGTTTGGTGTAAGTGGTTAAATGTGCGGACTCTAATCTGGGAGAACCGGGTTTGGTTCACCCACTCCTCCATTTGCACCTGGCTGGATGACCTTGGGCAAGCCGTAGTTCTGGCAGAGCTGTTCTCTCTCGGAAACCCCGCCTACCTCACAGGGTATCTGTTGTGGGGAGGGGAAGGTGGAAGGAGTTTGTGAGCCGCTCTGAGACTCCCTTGGGTAGTGAAGGGCGGGGTATAAATCCAATCTCCTCCTCCTCTTCTTCTTCTTCCCAACAAAGGTTTATTCAAGGTATGAACTTTTGTGTGCAAGACACACTTTTTTAAATGCCTTGCACATGGACGCTCATACCTTGAATAAACTTTTGCTGGTCTAAATTTGTTCGCCTTCTTGGATTGTTCATCATTTTCATTACCACGTATGTGACATTGTTTGTTTTGTTAGTCAAGTGCAAAAACATTTTTGTGTCATGGTTTTCCCACTTTTTTGTAGTTATTTGATTATTTTAGGGGGTCTCTTTATTTTTTTGGGTTTTTTTACTTGCATCTTAATTCCCAGGGAGACTTATCTGTCTTCCACCATTAGGTGGAATGTGTTAAATGAAATAAATAATGCTACATTAAGAGGTTTTGTAGAAATTAGGCAGATGTGCCCAGTTTACATAATTCTGGTTCTTCTTGTCGTGGGAGGGTTGTCAAAGCCCTTCACCCACCATAATGGGCCATCTCTCTGGCTTCTACATGATCATCAGTCATAGATGGAATAGTGTCAAGCGGTATCTGTACCATCCTAAGGCCTAGAACACTTTTTTGTTGTTGTTCAGTTGCACAGTCAAGATCTGATAAGACCGGGATAGTCCGGGCCTTCCAGCTGAGGGCCCCTTCATGGTAGGCAGGGGTCATTTCACAGAAAAAGAGGTGCAGGAGCTCATTTGCATAACTCATTTGCATATGCCATGCCCCCTCACGTCACCGGAAGTATGTCAGAAGGCAACACCCACCGCTCAGGCTCCACTGGACTGTTTTGGATTGCTAGCTATTGGGGGGGGGGGAACATGCAGATCTGCCCTCACAGAGGAGGGAGAGCTTGTACCTGAATAAAACTTGGTCTTAAAGGTGCCACTGGACTGTTTTGGGCCGGGGGGGGGGGGAGCTCTGCAGCTTACCTGGCTGCTTCTTGCTCTGACTGAGGGCTGCTGGGAGCAGGGGGCGGGGCTTATTGCATGTGCCCACCCCCTGGGCTCTTTACTGCCAGAGCTCCACTCCTGTGCGCTCCTTGAGGAAATGACCCCTGGACGTATGCTGTCCCTTTTGGGTGCCCTGATTCCAAGCTGTTTAGGGCTTTCAAGTGGGCAGCTAGGCTTTAGGGAAGAAAGGATCAAGTTGGGAGGGAGACGGGTTTGCTTCAATCACAGGTGCGAGTGGCCGATGGCATTCCCTTTCCCTCCCGACAGCGGCCCTGCAGGCCCTCAAGCGGAAGAAGCGCTATGAGCAGCAGCTGGGCCAGATCGACGGCACCCTCTCCACCATCGAGTTCCAGCGGGAGGCGCTGGAAAACGCCACCACCAACACCGAAGTGCTCAAGACCATGTCGGATGCCGCCCGGGCCATGAAGGAGGCCCACCAGCACATGTGCGTACTGCACCCGGTGTGTGTGGGGGGGGGGAAGCAGTGACTTTTGGGACTGAACCCTGCCCCGGCTTGGGCGGGGCTAGAAGGGTTTAGAGGAGGGAGGAACCAGCGTGCCAACCGGGGAGGCGGGGACGTGTCTTGGACTACGAAGTCTCACTGACGGAATCTTTCCTTGAAGGCAACTTTGAGTTTACAGGGTTGGACTAGATGACCTGCAAGGTGGCATGTCCCAGTTCTCCTGGGAGGGCTGTTTCAGAAAGGAAATTTGGCCCGATCTTGAGTTCTGCATCTGTGTATACCAGGGGTCCCCAACGGGCCACCCGCCAGCTGTTTTTAAAAACTGGGCGGGACCAGGTGAGGCTTGTGCCCAGCGGGGCTTCTGATTGGCCACTGGAGATCTGATTGCCTGAGCAGATTTGCTATAACCACAGCCCGAGGATCTTCTCTGTGTCCTTGACCATCAGCTGTGTGTGTATAGTAAAATACTTTTAAGTAATATGTTCCTTTTAAAAGGCATCTGATTAAACAGCCTCTCCCTCAAATGCTGAGCCGTTAGTATTAGGACTATGCATGGCCTCACTCGCTCCCTGACATTTTGTGGTGGGCGCCATCCCTTGGGGCAGCCATTGTTGTTGTTTTCTTCGTATTTTTCATGTGCGCATGTGCACACCTGGAAGTCGTGGCGATCTCTGGTGACCGACCCCTACTGGGGGCCTGGAGGATATTCAGAGAGGTGGCTGAGTAAAGCCTGCCCCCACTTCCCGCCTCTGGTATTCCAAGGAGGTCTCCCATCCAAGGACTTGCCAGAGTCGACCCTGCTTAGCTTCCGAGTTCTGATGAGATCCGGCCAGTTTGGTGTCGTGGTTAAGTGTGTGGACTCTAATCTGGGAGAGCCGGGTTTGATTCCCCACTCCCTCCACTTGCAGCTGATGGATGACCTTGGGCAAGCCGTAGTTCTGTCAGAGCTGTCCTTGAAAGAGCAGTTCTGGAAAGAGCGCTCTCAGCCCCACCTGCCTCACAGGCAATGCTCCCTCTAAGCTGTGTAGTCTTGTGAGTAAAAATTCTACTTGGTGAGCTCCTGGCATTAGTTGTGAGCGAGCGATCTGGCTGCTGCATAAATGAGTTTGCTCTGGAGCCCTCCTTTCTGAGCCGAGACAAAAAATGTGTGAGCTGGAGGCTAAAGAACTGTGAGCTGGCTCACACTAACTCAGCTTAGAGGGAGCACTGCTCACAGGGTGTCTGTTGTGGGGAGGGGAAGGGAAAGGAGCTTGTAAACCGCTCTGAGACTCCGAGTGAAGGGCGGGGTATAAATCCAATCTCTTCTTCTTCCTCTTCTTCTTCTTCTTCCTTCCTGAGCTCTTCAGGTCAGGGCTTGTGGCAGCTACTTTGTAGTAGTGCCTGCCACCGTGTCTCGGAATTCCAAAGCTGCTCGTAGGCCCAAGAAGTTTGGGAACCCCCTGCTGTAGACCAATACCGCTTTGAATTCTTATATTTCCGTTTCCGCCTTCTTGATGCTTCCTGTCCTCTCTCCGGGAAGGCGGGGCTTTATCGCCCAGGCTCCTCCCTCTTGGGGGAGCAGGGTTTAGCCCGTTTCTTCAGCAGCCCTTCCCTTTCTCCCTGTCCTTCCCCAGGGACATCGACAAGGTGGACGACCTGATGTCCGAGATCACGGAGCAGCAAGACATCGCCCAGCAGATCTCCGACGCCATCTCCAAGCCCGTCGGCTTCGGGGACGACGTCGACGAGGTGAGGGGGAGCAGCGGGGGATTCGGTTGCCGTTCGGACAGCCTCTTCCGTGCGGGGCTGAGCACCGAGGCGATTGGGCTGCTGTGGGAGCCCCATGCTAACCTCCAGTCTCTGTCGCCACCAGGATGAGCTACTGGCCGAGCTGGAGGAAATGGAACAGGAAAGCCTGGACAAGGAGCTGCTGAATGTGGGGGAGCCGACCCCCGTCCTTCCCAGCGTGCCTGCCTCTCACCTGCCCAGCGTCCCAGGTACAGTCGCGGGGGG